ATCATCATCATCATCATCATCATCATCATCATCATCATCATCATCATAAGGTGCCCGCCCAAAATAACGTAAACATGAACATGAACAGGGGATCCTTGGACTTGTGCTTGGTCGCCATTCTTGGCCCGGTCATCATCCATCCAGACGGAAAGCTGATGAAGAGATTCCCATGGTTTTGTGAAATCTTGTTTGAATGGCACATATAGTATCATTTGGATATATATATATATACACATACATACCGTGAACTAAACACCTGACCGTAGTGGGTTAGTAAGCGATTGTCATCCACTTGTAACATGGACTTTCATACGGGGCCATTGGGAGCCCTGGGTAAGGAAATGATGACCATTCTTGTCTAGGAAGCTTTGACCTTTGACCGTTACACTTTGTGCCGATATGTTCTGGGTGTGTGACCTTATTTGCATACAAGATTGTGGCCACAAGAAGTGACAGAACACCTGAAGCAAACACAGCTAGACCTTGTTGTTGGTGATTGTGCCACCCAACCAGTGAAGGGTTGATCTCTGTGGATACATCGGCACCGACCTTTCGTAGACTCCGGAGACTCCAATCCGTTCCATCGGTCCAAGGAATGGCTGGAAGCAGGTGGGAAGTCAAGCTCTTTTGTCAAAAATGGCCTGAGAAACACAGAAAGAGCGGCCTAACTTGTTGAAACCGAGGCCTTTTTATAAACTCTATATAATACGTCACCCTTTTGACCATGAGTCCTTGGAGATTGTCCAGCCTGCAGAACCCATGACCTATATACAATGTGACAAGTTGCATGTGTTTCAGGCACAATGTACTTGTGTATGCTTGGAGTGCTACCGTAGTCCCTTCCCTGGCTTGATGGCTTCATGGCATGGCCGGCTTCACATCGGGCACTCCGTTTTTGTCCCGACTCGGACGCTGATCGCTGATCCACCCCGGCCAGTGCCCCTCGGACTTCTCGGACACGGTGCGGGAGAAGGTCATCAAGCCTTACCAATGGGGTACCCACCTCCTTGTGATGGAGGCGGGCGGCGACGTGGATCGCTGATTGAGCACAGGGAGAGATCATCGAATCATCAACATAATTTCATGAAAGTCATCCATTCCCAATCATTCCCAGACCTCTCGGTTTTAGGTGAAGAGAACAAGCACCGGGCATCGTGAAGTGTTTCGGAAACAGTTCTTCTAGAGTAACAAGATCCTGGGTGCTAATGATGGATTCAGTTGTGCCACCATGGGCTGCCCTGCAAAGCCCCTTCCGTGCAGCGGATTCGGTTTTCCTGCCAGCCAGCTGGCTTGAGATAAACAAATTCTGGAAAGGTCAGCCCAGCCCACCAGACAAGTGGTAGTGCTGGTGCAGGATGGAAAAGCCTATCGAACCCCTGGCTGTGGATCCAGGGACGAGCCAGGAGAGCAGAGCAACAGAGGGCTTCGCAACACGGGAATTTTCAGGCTGGTTAAGCACCCTGAGTAGAACTTTGTAAAAATGCGGCACGGCCAAAGAATCGGAGCCGTGCTGTATTACAGTATCATGCAGCATCTATAGTCTATTGTTGAAACGCTAGTGTCATCAGACAAATCCGGACGACAGGGCCGCCCGTTTGCAACCCCCCAGCCACGAATCATTGGCCAGGAGGACTGCAGATGATTTGGGAGTTTGAGAAGGCATGCTGCAGCTTTGTGATGGAAGTCTACGCACACACACACACAGAGTGAATTGTAACACGGAAGGTTTGATGGAGATTCCGTTTCAGAGAACAGTATGTATTTGTTTGAGTCTCTGACGGTTCACTTTGCAGGTTCAAAAGAAAACGGGGTTCTCAGGAGATGACTGAGTTGTAAGTAGGGAATTCATCCAAGCAAGGAGCATTCAGGTCGAGGCGATTCATTTTGTTTGACATTCTAGATTCCATCGATTTGTCATAGTTTATACAATGATTGCAATGGCAGTCACAACACATCGGAGGGAGCTAGAGCACTTGGGCATGTTTAGCAACTCTCTCGGGCATGGTTTTAACATGTTTTAGTATGTTGGTTATTGTTTCAACCCACCAATGCCCTTGGATTGCCACCCAGATGCTTTGGGCTTCCCATGGCTTTCCCATCCCATGCCTTGCGCAGGGCCCGGGGCGGATGAAACTTCAGCGGCTGGGCGGCTCACAGTCCTATTGGTGCCTCCCACCTCGGTCTAGTAGCTTCTCGTTCCTAGTAGTAAGGCCAGGAGCCCTTAGTAGCGTCCTTGCTCCTAGTAGTAGTAGTAAAGGCCAGGAGCCCCTAGCAGCGTCCTTGCTCCTAGTAGGAAGGCCAGGAGCCCCTAGTAGCGTCCTTGCTAGCGATGCCCTTTGCTCCTAGTAGCTTCTTGTTACTCCTATTGGTGCCTCCCACCTCGGTCTGCTGCGAAGAACGTAGGGACTTCCAGGAGTTTGCTTGTCCCATCTTGTCCCTGTTGGTGAGGCCTTTTTCTCAGGAATGCAGGCTCCCTTTTCATGCAAGTAGTAAGAAGCCCCTAAACTTTTAGGTAGAGGTAAAGGAGAACACATTCTGACCAGATCTTAAGATGGCCTTTAATAATATACGTGTCGAGCTGTCGAGTCACTGGCTAAATGAACGAGAAAGTTCATTTACTCGGACTTAGGTGCCTGATTGTGCAACACAATGCAAGACACATCACGATGGCCTCCAGGTACGGGAAGCTCTTCATTCGTGCTCCAGTTCCAAACTGACACAGGCAAGAATTCATCCAATAAATTGCAAAAAGACCTGATAAGTTACTTTCTAGTTGTCAGGGTAGGAACTCAAGAAAAATTGTGCGTTGGACTGTGGTTTGCCGATGACTCGCTGCGATTGATGGAGGGTGCCTATTCTGCTGGGCAGCGGCAGTCTGAAGTCTGAGATCTGTCATAGATGAGCTCAGAGCTAGTCAGCAAATGCTTCCCATGAAGTCATCCAGGCGGAGCTCATGTCTTCTTTGAGGGAACAAGTTGAGGGACGTGTTGGGGGAGATCTAGGGCTTATCCATACATCTATGCTTCATTCTTCAGGAGGACAGGTTAGATGAGGATCAGATTCGTTGGACTGCACAGTTTGTGAGAGGACATGCCCTCAAGGCCCTTACATTATGAATCTTTTTCGTTGTGCCGGGGTAGTTTGAATGTGGGCTGAAGGTGTTTTCATCGTTTTGCATGTTTGCCTTGCAACTGTTGAAAGAACCTCTCACGGGAAGCTGCTACGCTGAGTCTGCTCATGCGACCATAGACCATATTAAAACTGCGTCGCTGGCCAGCTGTGTCAGGAGTGAATCAAAACAGAGGAACGCATTGATTGCGGTGGGGATGTTCTTTCCAGCCACGCGTAACTATTGGCCTGTGCAATCCGTTTTCGACAGGCTCAAGGAATGCAAAAATGAAGCACCACTCAGGATATCCCGCTGATCCTTCTCGACGGAAGATTCGAGAGCAAACAATTGCTTGTTGCGGGATGTTGTAGCTCGATATTTGGACCTTAGACATCGTCATGCCCACAGTGATCCCAAGTGAGAGGAGTAGAAACACTCCAGCCGAAAGAGCAACTGCTAGCCTGCCGTAGCCTGCTGGCCAGTCAACTTGTGGGGTGTTCATGGGCTTTCGGTGCCAGCCAACAGTTCTTCCAACGTCCTGAAGACTTGGAAGGCTTGAACAAAACTCCGAGGTGACTATGCAGCCTTACATTTGCCACTCCGTGTCCAGCTGGAGCAACCAGGCGGGGGGAGAGACTTGGTCGGTTGATAAAAGGTCTTCCAAAGGCATGAAGGACTGTTGGTAGGAGTGCCAAGGTGACAAAACTTTTTGCTGAGATCCATGCAGTGGTCCCAAACTGACTTCCAAGCCAAGGATGAACATGAATCACTGGTGCCTCTCAATGATTTATCCTTTGAGGAAGGATTGCTGTATTACAGCCCGAAGGCAATTCTCACAGTTTTGTGCACGAGTGAAGGCATGCGAAGCCAAATCGCGAATGCCCCAGCTCCTGTCTTCGCGAAGGCAACTTGCGTAGGCAAACAAGCCTGGTCCCCATGTTCCAAAAAGGTTCGAGAAGGCGTGTCGCGAAGGCGGCACAGAACAGCCGCGAAGGCACCCTTTTGTTCAAAAGCATGTTTTGCGAAGGCTTGCGAAGGCAGATGCGAAGGCATTCTTCCAGTGTATAGTCCTCATAGTCACCAACAAAGGGCACTGCTCAAGTCTGAGGCTTTCATGGGATATATGAGGGACGGACACACCGTGGGGTCACACTGTGTACACCCCTTCGAAATGAACGACTTTCAACTGCCCTGTCACAGATCAACCATAGGCTTTCAAATTGAGTGGTTCTTTCGGTTCATCTCCAGGAGTTGAATCATTTATCTGAGTCTATCTTCTTCATCTGGCCCTGTCAAGCTCTCCTCCAGCACTCTTTTGAAGCACCTGTGAAGCACCTGTAGGCGGAGCGTGGATTCTAGCGACACACGAGGCCCTTGAGGCGGCAGCGCGTTCGGCCCATGTCGATCGCCGATGGTGGTCACCCGCGGGGGAGTGTGCGAGAAGCTGGATATTTAGATCAAGGCTTGGGTTGCAATCCTCCACAGACAATCTGAGCACCGCTCCTCCATGAAGGAGCTGCTTCCTCGTGGTTGGCGGACCGGAAGGGAAGGTCAGAGTCAAAGCTAACCCTTGCTCTCTTGGGTGCTCTTCAGGCACCTGGCTTGAATGAAAGGTATGAGTACTGTAGTATGCTGTAGCCATTCGAGGACATTTCTTTCCTTCGCTCCTGGTGGTTGTCAATCCACGCCAGTCAATCCTTTTTGCACACTGAAAGGCTGGACTTCGTGCCACCGTGGCAGGAGGTGCAGACTGTGTCATCAGGAGATCCGTCCGTCTTTGTCAGGATTGTTTACTGTACTTACATTGCATTGCAGCAGGTATGGATTATCTTTCCCAGTGCGCGCCCAGAGCCCAAAACTCACCCCATTATTGTCCAAAAGTTTTGGTTCAGAGGTGTTTTTCCTTGGAGCCTACCTGGTTTGGAACAACTTGCGCACTTGCTCCCAACATGTCGCAAGACTGTAGCTATGTAAAGCGGGGCGGAGATGGATGAAAACTAGGGTTGAAAAGAACAAATCTGACGCACACAGGAGTGAGAGCCAAAGTTGCTTTCCACAGCTCGACTCCCAGATGAACTGCATCTCAATGTTTCTTGCTTCTTGTGTCACATATGCGCAGTGATGATCTCTCCAGTCCTTGCTTTTGTGATGCCTTGGCACATTGTCACGCTGAACGTGTCCAAAGGGTGACTGTACAAATATACTATCATACTATATAGATAGAGAGATTGTATACAGTTTTCATCATAGTGGATGGCAAACCCTGTTAAGTTCATGTCATGGGGCACCCCGGCCTGCAAGCAACAAAGGAAAGCATTGGAATGACAGCAAGAGGCTGACAGCATAGGACAACCAGACACCACACACCTCTGAGGGACAAAGCATGGACAGGTAAGAACGGGACCCAAGGAGCAACTGCCAAGCGTCAGGTCATTAGAGGCTGCCACCAGATGGTCGTCAGGCGGGTTGCTGAGATTTCCATGGGCAACCCATGTGTTTGAAGCATTATTGTACATGAAGTCTCCTTGCCAGTGATGGCAGATATATGTCAAATATATATATATATATGTATGTATGTATGTGTGTGTGTGGGTGTGGTTGAGACGGGGCTGAGGAAGCTTTCAGCATTGGGATTGATTTGGTGCATGCAGTTCATGGAGTATATGCCAGTCTCGGTTAATGAATCTCAGATCGACTGTTTTGATGGGTATCCTGAGCTCACCTTTGATGGAAAAAGCTCTCAATCACTCGCCACTCAAATAGCGGGGGGTCAAGACGCTGTAGCCGGTGAATTGACACAATGCGGGACATGTCATCCGACAGCATCAAGTTTTATATTAGTTATTTTTATTCCGAAGGCTCTGCACGTGGTACAAATGTGCATGTCTAGTGATGATGTCAGTAAGTTCTTAGTAGTGATATTTGGAGGGGTGAACGCATATGCAGAGAAGCTGTGCTGCAGCGTACGCTCCGATGAGCGGACACGGGAATCGGCAACTGATCCACTGGGGTGGGAGAGCATCGCGCACATACTACCGTACCTAGCTCCAGGTCAGGAACCTCCAGGTTGCCATGTTTAAACATTGAGCTGCTGCGACTACGTCCAGGTGGGTATATAAGTTTTGGAGGTGGGCTGGCGCTAGATTATGAAGTATTCACCAGGCCCCAATTCCAGCCTTGCTTGGGAAGGAGATTGGTGGATTACATCTTTTGGATAATGACTTAATGCATCTCAATCCACACAGGGTTGCACCTAGAGATCTACAAAAATGGCCATCATGTACACTTGTCTACATTGCCCGATTAGGGTAGGCCCGCCACAGCAGGTGAAGGATCTGAGGCAGGGAGCTGTTGATGCACAGCAGTCGTTGATGCAAGTCGAATGGAACGCGGGTCAGTTTATTTCGAGCCGAGAAACACACATGTATAGCTCATACGTGAGGGCACTTAGATGCACTTCGGACCACTCTTTTTGGTCGTGTGTTTGTATATTATCAATGAGGTTCGTGCATTTACATAGATCATCATGGATCTGCAGAAGCTGACACTTGGGGAATCTCTTTGCGTGCATGTCCACATTGTGTGTCCCACAATTGGTCTCATGCTTCTTTTCCTAGCTGCCCCCTGATCTCAGAGAATTCCAAGAGCCATCTCACAGGTTCACACTGATCAGCTAAGGGTTGTTCTTGACAGCTACAGTGATGAGTAGGTGAATGACCCAGAGACCGGCAAATAGGGAGCATCGGCGAAAAGGGAGATCATGGGGTGTCCCCACCTAGGGGTCCATTGCTAGGTTTGATGCAGATATTTTTGAAGCAGCACGAGCCCTTCCCAATGCTCCTTGTTGAACCTTGCAGGCAACAGAGTTTCCATCTGCTGCAGGCTGCAGGTAGAAATCAAGCCTCTTCACGCGTGGCCTCTCTCTCTCTCTCCTTTTTCCTCTCCCTCTCTCTCGAGCCAACTAACCGCAGGCCCTGCCGTTACTGCGGGCGCTCCAGTTGGGACCTTCGGGTTGCCAAGCGCAGTCGGGTGCTCCAGCGGAATCATTCGGAAGGTGGAACGGCAGGGGCACGTTTGCTTTCGGCGAATGCCTTTGTTGGACAACTAGTAACTATCACGTATGGACACGCTGCGCACGCTGCGCGATGGCCAGGGTTTTGTGTTGTTTAGGCACTGGCAGGTGTGTGTTCATTTGTGGGGTGCTGTCCATTTGTGAAGAGCCTTCTCTACAACAAGGGCTGTGCATACATATTCATATACATATATATATATATACCTGCAACCTCAAATGATCAAAAGTAATTGTGCATTCAGAAATTCCAGTGCACTACACGTCTTTCAGGAAATTACTTTACTTCGAGTGATCCCCACCATGACATTTCAATCATTTGTCTTGATGCCATAGTGAGGAGCATGTTGCCATAGTCGTTAGTATTGTAGTTCTCGATGTTGCTTGTGGGTCCTCGGGTTGTGTGCTGTGGTTGTGTGCTGTGTTGTGGTTGTGGTTGTGTTTGTGGTTGTGTGTTTGTGTTTGTGGTTGTGTTTGTGGTTGTGTGTTTGTGGTTGTGTGTTTGTGGTTGTGGTAGTGGTTGTGATTGTGAGTTTGTA